AAAAACGTGGCAACGCTTTTCGAGTCAAATGATGAAGTAGCGGAATCATATCTCGATATGAAAATCTTTGATTTGCTTATACACCCTGCAACAACCGAAATGACTCAAGAGCAGTTGCTCAAATCTCAAAGGCCACTATCATACTTGTTAACTCGATTCAAGCCGGAAACAGAGGGTGTATTCTTTGATGAATTTTTCCGCCTTCAGCTACACATTCCGTTTCTCTCTTACGCCATCAAAGTATGTAAACTTAATTTAAGACCATATGACAAAGGTGTGGTCTTAAATGACGTCGCTTCGGCGCTCACTACTAACCGTAAAGATGGAAACATTATCACATGGCTGGGAATGTTAGAGTTTGATATTAAAACCAGTCACAATATCGATCTTCTCATTGGGAAGTTGGTTGGACATCCTTGGACCGCCAGCTTAGCGTATCGCTTACAAGCAATGCGTTCCAACTCGTTTGATGAATTTTCCTTGCGTATTCCCGAAGGATTTATTGATAAGCACGGTGTCCTCCTTAATTACGCCGCTTATGTTCGATTCAACTTTATTGAGCACGAGACAAAAAGTTCCGCTATCGTGTTGCCTCCTCTATTCTCGATTCTGGAGAAAACTGGACTTTCGAACATCAAAAAACAGAAAGAGTCTTTTGAGAAAGAGGTGTGGCCGACAAGTCGACCGCTCTCGATTCCGTTTGTTTGTTGATGATATGTGGAGATATATCAATGAGGATCAGCTGCGTCTTTTTAAAGCTGCAGTGCAGTCTAACGATCAAGCGAAATTGGTCAGAGAGACTTTGGCAGGATTCAGTAAAGGCGCTTCGTTTGCCTTGAATCGGGGCGGTACAAAAATGAAACGCACGTTTAAGAGAATGTTTAAGAGCGAGAAATTTGTGCAATGGCTTCAAGCGGGGTTCAAAGACGAGAAATCCGTGCAATCGCTTCAATCTGAATTGGATGGTGAAGAGATTGAGCGCAAACTTTCATTGCTTCTGTCAAAAAGTGGTGTGGACATGATGGAGATAGAAGGTGATGTTGTGAGAATTGTCCACAAAATTCCGGTCAAGGAAAACTTGCATCTACTTAAAACGTTTATGGCGGACAGTGAAGGTGTGAAGATATTTAGATCCTTTTTCGAACGATTAACATTACTTGATGACATGTTAAGCAGTACGGAATTGGATACGGTGCCTATACTGAAAGAGATTCTCGAAGATCAGAATAAAGTGCAATTTCTCAAAGAGGTAGTGAAGGACAAGGTGAAATTGGAGTCATTTAGAATTGATTTGGCCGACAAGAAAAAGATGAATGCCTTGTGGGATACGCTGGGTGATACGAATCCTGGGGCTTCGTATGATCAAGTCATAAAGGATATC